ATCTGCCCACTTTTGTAGTCTGTCTAAATCTATTTGCAACCTCATTCTCCCTTCAAGTGTGCCCAGCTCACCCCACATATTAGTGTCATCAGCAAACTTGGACAATGTGCTTTCCACCCCCTGGTCCAAGTCGCTGATGAAGATGTTAAACAGTGTGGGCCTGAGGACTGAGCCCTGGGGTACACCACTGCTCACATCTCACCAGGTTGAGTACAACCTGTCCATCACTACTTTCTGGGTGTGCCCCATCAGCCAATTTTTTACCTATCCAACTGTGCAGGCATCAATGCCGCAGTCGCTTAATTTATTAATGAGAATGTGGTGAGACACAGTGTCAAAGGCCTTCTTAAAGTCCAGAAAGACTTTGTCCATGGTGACACCATCATCCAAGGATTTAGTTACTTGGTCATAAAAGGCAATCAGGTTGGTCGGGCAGGACCTGCCTTTGATGAACCCATGCTGATTGCCCCTGAGCATGATCTCCCCTGCAGGACCCCCACAGATGTGCTCCTTGATGATTCTCTCCACGATCTTCCCAAGCACCCAGGTGAGCCTTATGGGCCTATAGTTACTTGGGTCCTCCTTCCTCCCTTTCTTGAAAATTGGGACCACATTAGTCAGTTTCCAATCCCCCGGCACCTGGCCAGATGACCACGAATGCTCATACAGCCAGGCCAAGGGCTCCGCGATGACCCCTGCCAGCTCCCTCAACACCCTTGGGTGGAGGGCTTCTGGACCTGCAGATTTAAAAATGTCTAGCCCAGTACTCTAGCATGCCAGGTAGAACAGTCACCTTTTAGGACCTGAAGTGCCATGGCTCTGACACCACAAAGTGGGAGTGAGAAACCAGCCCAGCATGCCTGGCAGAGAGTGAATTGTGATGGAAGTGCTTGCACCCATGCTTTAGAGGTTCCAGGGGGTAGGTAACCTGTGGCTGGGGGTGCTGACACTTTTCTGCTTTCTCATTTCACCCAAACACAAATTCAATAAAGTTCAGTACCCTGCACTTAACCAAGCGCTGTAGTGTGCTTGCCTGATTTGGGGTGTCTGGTGGAGGAGTGGGAGGAGGGAAGAGAATGCCTGGGCCCATATTTTTGGGATCCCAGGGGCGGGGGATGCATGAAGAGGGGCCTGGTTGACTAAGGGGTAAGGACACAGCTGTTGTTAGAAAGAGCTTTTATGGAATAAGCAGTGCAAGGAAGCTCATTGATAAAATGTGCCAACAAAGGGGAAAAGAAAAAAAAGGAGGAAGTAGGATTCTTGCCATAGAGTGGCCAGTTGCAGTAAAGGTTGGAGGGTGGCTTAGAAATGAAGCAGCGTGTGATGCCTGAAGGCCCAACAAGACTGGTGTCACAGAACACTTGGCTTGCACAGGTAACAGTGACCCTGGTGCACAGTGTACCGGTTCAAAGGAGGACTTGATTTCTAGGTAGACATTTGAACCTTTAGGCTAAGTACAGAGGCTCAAAAAGCCCAAGGCAGAGTTGATTCAATCTTTGCAGGATTTTCTAAGCTGCGTAGATTGGACTGATAGCAAACTGAACTGACATTCAGCGTTCTGGTGGCCAAAGTAGGCAGAACCCTGCACTGGCCCAAGCCAAGAGCCTGGGGGTGTTCATGCCAGACAGACAGACACTGCCAAAGGCTGCTGACCCCAGCCAAATGGCAGTCCATGCCTGCTTGGCTGCTGGAAAGCCCCAGCCCTGAGCCCTTGCCAGCCACCAGCCTCCCCGAGAAGCAGGGGGCAGGGAGAATGCACCTCAAGGCCAGCACCAGCCCCACCCCCCAGCAGGGGACTGCACGCCAGAGGGTGAAGCCCCTGTAGGGGAGCTTTTTCCTTGCTCACAGCCCAATATGACCTTACCCCAGCCCTGCAAAGGGCCAGCAGCTGACAAAGGAGCATGGTGTAGGCTTTCCCAGACCAGCTTGCTAGGCTGTGGGCAGGAGAAAAGCTCCCCCATTGGGGCTTCCCTTACCATGCCATGCAGACCCCTTCTGGGGGGAGAGGGGAAGTACCAGGCCAGGGCAGGGAGTGTTTCCTTCCACTGTCCCCAGCCCTCCAGCTCTGAGAGGCTAGCAGCTGGCGAGGGTGCAGAGCTGGGGCATTCCCAGTCCAGCTCACTGGACTGTAAGTGGGGGGAAAGCCCCTCTGTGTGAGCTTCCTCTTCTCCCACCCCCCCAACAATGTGCAGACCCTTGCTGGGAGGGGACTGGTGCCAGGCTGGGGCTGCATTCCCCCACCCCTTTTTGCCCCCATCTCTCAGACAGGCTGTCAAGCTGGTGAGGGCATGGGGTTGGGGCTATCAGCCTGGCTCACTGTGCTGCAGGAAGCAGAAAAGTCTCCCCTGCAGGGGCTCCTCCTGGTGCCATGAAGACCCCTGCTGTGGGGACCAGTGCTGTGGGGGTGCATTCCTCCCTCCCCCACCTGTCAGAGAGGCCGGTGGCTAATAAGAAGATAGGGCTGGGGCTTTTCCAGCTCAGGGGCTTGCTGGGTTTAGGGAGTTTCCTCCCCTGCACTGTGGAGACCCAGATTGGGGGGCCCGGGGCTCCCCTGTCCCCCATTCCACCAGCTGACAGGCAGAGGCAGGATGCAGGCTAGGGAGCAGAGGCCTTACTACCTCAACTCTGTGACAGCTGCAGGAGGGGCCGGTCCTGTTCTACTGGAGCAGACAGCACAGCAAAGGGCCCAGTGCACCCTGGGATGTTGGGGGACTGTGAGGTAACTTGAGTCAGGAGGGGAACTGGGGCAGAAGTTCTATAGACTGATTTAACCTAAATCAGTCAAATGTGATACTATATCTGACCAGGCTTATTGTAAACTAGGTTCAGCTATATTTGAAGCAGTTTATGTGCACTGCACTTCTGTTATGGTACAGGTTTGAATAGATTTCCAATCACTTATACTGGTTTATGTGTAGCTTCTATCCCTAGCTCTAAAGCACCTTTTAAACTGATTTAACAAGTGTACATTTGTCCATTTCTGGTTTAAACCAATGTTAGTGTCACATGTGGCCATACCCACTGTCTCATGAGCAAGAAGAACTCCTCAGAGAAAGGGATTTCAAGTCAGTCTGTGCGCTGAGCTATTTAAAGAAACATGAGAAAAGAAGCGTTCATCTAAAAATAGTTTTGTCTATTGCAACTTAGTGTGAAAAAAATAAATAAGCAATGAGTTAAGTAAAATAAAAACCAACTGCAAGCAAGTGAAAATGTTTCTTGTGAAAATATACTTCCTCCCCCTCACTTTCAAGGTTTCTATCTTCTTTTAGGGTCAGATTTTAAAGATGTTATTTTGGTTTAGAATTCCCATTACTTTCAGCAGGTCTCTGCCTGCCTCTGCCTGTCAGCAGATTGAGAAAGTCCTGTTCTCAATCTTGGAAATTAATCATAAGACCTGATCCCAGTTAATAATATTCCAGTAACATGACTGCATGTACCTAAAGCAATTCTTATCAATTTATTATATAACCATATTAAAGCTTTCAAGTTTAGAAAAAACAGAAGCAGTTTAAATTTCACTGTAACTCATGGATTGGCAAGTTGATGCTCCATCACAGCCAAGACTTCAGTAGAGACACTTAAGTCTTTTCCTTATTGTTTTTAAAGTGGTGGCTAATTCCTTCTTCAAGTGTTTTGATTCATGATTAAAAATTTAATTGACTTTCACATTTAAGGGAAATTAACTTTAAGAATACACACTGCTTGCACAAGGACTCTAAAAAATTCAAATAAAGGCTTTGAGACTCTGCCTATTTGCTTTCCACTAATGAAATTCTTCTGGACTGAGGCTAGTACATTCATCATCACTGATTTGAAAATGAACCTGTGATGTGCTAGGTGCTTTACAGGCATAAAAACACACAAGCCTTACCAATCACAGAAAATATTTGAATGCAAGGCAGAAGAGGGGGGCAGCATGACTTAGAGGAGTCAGCTCTTTTTAACAAATACTCCTTTAGACAGAGGACTATGAGTACTTTGATCTGCAGCAGTGACTCTCAGTCAGGGTTTCACAGACCCCTGGAGTGCCATGAGACCCTTTTAAGGGTGCCATGGGGTGCTGCACAATAGCACTGTTAGGTGTGCAAGCACCTACACAAGCGTCATAAGATATTCACAGAAATTTCAAATAGGAATCCATAATGACAAAAATATTCTGACCTGCTGTGGTCTTTCTGAGTTCTTTGCAATAGAAGAATTGCTTTATTATTTTTCCATAGTCCAAAAAGTGAGCGAGAGAGGTAAGAGCTGGCATTTTTCAGGGGTGCTTTGAGTCTAACAAAGTTGAGAACCACTGGTCTACAGGATAACAGGGATTATTTTAGGCATGTTTGAAGACATGTCTTCACGGATTTGAAAGACAGTTTAGATAAGGATTTGAAACCAGTTCTTTATTACCTCATTTGCTTGTCTCCTTTCTCTTCTTCAGGTGAAAATGCTGTTATTTCCTGAGCTTGGAATGCAGTGCTGTCAACCTTGAAAGTAGCTCTAACAATGTATTCTCTTCTAAAAGGACCCTCTAAACTAATGTCATGCTTTCAGAAGTCTGTTTTCTGGGACTCAATATACACACAAAAGCCATGACATGGACAGCCAGGAGCACTAAATGCCTTGAACTCCAGACATTCTTAATAGTTTGCAAAATGAACATAGACCTGGGTCTTTGCCTGTGCTTCAAACAGACCATGGCAAACAGAATCAAAATCAGATCTGTTTTGGTAATGTGCCCAAGGATCACATGAAAATTAACTGTGTAAGCAATACAGCAGCGTGGCAATAATATTTGTAAGTTACTTGACTAATGCAGATGGTTACTCTTGAATGCAGACTTGAAAAACTTACCAGCAGGTGCTGTGGCAGTTTTTGGCGCTGGAAGTAAACTCCTGCGGGGAGTTGCTGTGCTGCTCAATCCCTGCAGTGTAGCTCTACTGGTCCCCTTGGGGATGTCTTTAGATGGCGCAGCTGCCTTAGGAGTAGCTTGCTCTTCATTTCCAAAGCTTGAACCTGCAGGAGGTCAAAACTGCACTAATTATAAGCTCATAAAAAATGTATGCAAACTATAGTCTCTGCACTAAATTCATGTTTGCAATTATAATCTCTAATAAAAGCATATTTCCCCCTAACTCAGTTGGGCTCCATTACACAGATTTTTTCCTAGTGCAACTGGGAGCTCCCAATAACCCACTCTGATATCAAACTTTTCCCACCTAAGTCTTAGCTGCTGATCTGGCCTGAATCTGATAACACTTAAGAATTAAGGCAAGATTGAGAGAGGCACACGAGGCACCTGAAATGGTATTTATTTAATTTTAGATGTTTAAATCAGAAAAAGCAGGAGATCCCTGCTCCAAAGTGGATTAGGTGCCTACATTAATTAATTTACAGTCTCATCCATGCACAGAAATGCCCCACTCTGAGCAGTGGGTGCCACCTGCCTGTCATGATTTAGATATGAGGAAAAGCAGTGCATAAATTCTGCCTGGGTCTCCCAAGGGTCCTGACTGGTTGGGTGCGCCTTGCGTACCATGACCTCACATCAGTAGCGTTGAATCAAGCACGAAGCAAAGCAGCTATAATCACTTTATTTAAAAAATACAGGGAGAGGTGAGGCAGTTGTGGTGTGGCTGCTCATCTCTAATTGTTAGAGCACTTGCCCAGAAAAAGGGAAGCCCTGGGCACTAGTCCCTCCTCAGCCTGAAATGGTTCAAACCAGGAGTGACCAACCCCCAGGCCACAGTCTAGGTCAGGCTCCTGCTGCTGTCGTTCAGCCCACCGTGCTCCCCACAGGTCCAACAATTTGATGGCAGGGGACTGTGGCACTGCTCTGCTGCCAAATTTCCAGATACATGGGTTACCCTACAAACCAGACAGTATAGCCTTGCATGATGATTTGGGTGTGAAGGGTGGTACAGAGCCGAATCCCAGTGCTGTAGGGTGGTGAAGAGCCTGATCTCAGCATGGCCTGCTGGGCCAAAAGTATGGCCACCACTAGTTCAGACCAACATCTAAGACTGGGGAGACCTGGGTTCTGGTCATCACTCTCAGAATTATGCTGGATGTCCAGGGATCTAGCCCTCACACAGACTCTTCTATAGCTTGATGATTATGGCACTCAAAGGAAGCTGAAGAAGACCTAGAGACCAGTTCTCAGCCTTGCAGGGTGAGTTCTCTAACCTAGATTCCTATCCGAAATCTGGGCAGAAGTAGCCTCCCCCTTCCATAGGATTTTAAGAGTGAGCCTTACACATATAGACATTTATCCTAAGAGGATGAATCTGAACTCCAGAGAGAGGCAGGAACTCAGATACACACCTGGCTCAGCATTTCCTATTGACTGTGTGTAGACAGCTCTCTGCTCAATGTGCTGTTTGGAAGTGCTTAGCTCTCCTTATTTACTACATAGAAAACATAGTTGCCAGACTCCATTTCCTTGCATCCTTGCCATAGGGGGCCATAGGGGTCCAGGCTTTATCTTCCAGTCATTACAACACCTCAGGTATCTTTAAGAATCTCACCTTGAGTTTTTATTACTGTTGTAGGAATTATCCTGGTAGTAACCACAACACCTAGTAATCAGTGTTTGTAGGATCTGACTGTCGGGCAAGACATGAGCTCCCTGACCCAGTAATAGTTTATTGCGATCAATTCTTCTGATCAGATATACAAAAATGTGAATAATATGAAAAGAAAAAATCTGCCTTAATCAGCACATCTATTTCAATCCTGTTCTCATGCTAAATCTAAGGTTTCCAAGGTTTCTATTTTATGCTGACCTTTTTCAAAACCCTTTATATCTTCACTTGCTTTTCTGAATTTGCCACCTAAAAAATTATCCTATCCTATGCTCCTTGCAGATATAAGGAAATCAATTTCTCCCTACATATAAAAAAGCCAAGTTGATGTGTCTTCTTATCTATTAAACAGAAAACCAAAGTGGAGTGAGAGATTACAGCATGTTTGGACTTAAACAGATGCAGGAGGATGAAGATTTTGCTTGAAAAATGAGCACAGAGAGTGTCGAGAAGTATATAGAATTCCACAGAAAGACTGTGATTTTTATTTTCATTATTTTAAAGAGATAGAAATACAATGCTATTTAGGCACTGCCTGCAGGGAAATGATAACATTATTAAAATAACTGGCACGGCAAACTCTTCAGGGTTTTTTTAAAGAGTTAAGCTTCTTAACCATGCATCTGAAGGGAGGCATTTTTTGCCTTTCTTTCTGAAAATCTAAGAGTCTTTTATATTAAGGTGAAAGCTTTAAAAAGAAAAGCACCTTTTCTGGTTAAAGAGCCTTGCAGGCTGCTGTCTCTTTAAGGCAGCTTGCGTGCAGGTCTTAATGTAAAGCATTGTGCATAAAGTCTACATGGGTTTCTACAACTACATTTGACCTTTACTCAAATAATAAGCTATATGAAAAATTCAAACAATTTACTGTGCTCTGAGTGGAAGCAGAAAACCACAAGCATGTATCATTCTAACACTGCTCTGCACAGAATACTCCCTGAAACATTATATGGTTGTTTTGTTTCAGAATTACCAGAATTTATCATGGGCTTTAAAAGATTATACACTGAATTCTGTACTAACAAACCTCCACTGCTTTCAGTAGAGTTACACCAGCAAAAAACCCCTGGTCCTATCTGTGTAATCTGTATTGCAATGCTGCCTGTTAAAATCTTTCTTGGATGCTAGGGATATTTTATAGAGCATGTGCTCATTTAAATTCATTAGCTACATGCTGCTCAAATTATTTACTGTTCTTTGAAATGTGCTCACTTAGCTACTATGGACAGCATACTTACAGTCAAGGAAAAAAGGGATTTTAGCTATTTGTTTAAAGTTCAAATTATAGGAGTAGTTGCCTTCAAGAGGAAATATTGCTTATTATTTACAGAAAAATACAGTTCAAATGTCTCTATATTGAAGCCTCATATGCCTATCTTTTATTCTCTTAGGTAAAATTTATTATACAGAGAACATTTCATTTTAGCAATCTGGCTAGCTTCCAGCAAGGAAGCAGTTCTTCTGTTTGAAGTACGAGGTGTCAAGGGAAGTTATATAATCTCTTTTGAGAGATATCTTGCATTACAAAAAAGAATCTTTTCAAGTTTTTTAGTATGAAGTGCAGTTGGCAACAAATACCCTTGCCCTTTGAAACACAGCAGAAGCAGTCCAGTAATTAAAGAATGATTATCAGCTGAATGGCAAGCTAAAATGCGACCTGATCATAGATCAAGTATTTGCAAATACCCAGGATGTGCTGAATGCCAGTGGACACATCCTATCACATATCCTGTGCATAGATAACAGAAGAAAAAAGGAACAATCCTTTCAGAAAGAGTGTTTTCAAAATAATATTTCCTATTCATCTTTTTGTAAGATATGGAAAGGTTGAAAGAACATTAGGTCAAATATCAATGTTTATGAATACAAGAGATGCCAAACCAAGGCTAATGCTAAATTTAAGACAATCCACCTCATCTTGCAGTTCTCCCAGGCATCTCGCATGAAGTGTGAGTACATCAAGATGTACCCCTCCTTAATAACTATATGTAAATGTGTACATTCCCAGTGCCACTCCTACTGACAACACTGAAGCAAAGTCAGGCCTCCATTGCTACAGTCACTTAAAGCAGAAGGACTAGTGGTCCAACTTGCTGTGCACTCATGCACACAGTTCCAATATTCTAAAGCACAGATTAAATGAAAAGTGAGAAAAACCTCATTCCTCACCTCCTCAGAGGAAAATAATACTTCTATTTTAATTCCATTCAGTTACTTATTCGTCTCTCAGGAAAATTACTGAAAATTGCTGACTTATCAATGACAATGTTCAGTCAATCATGAGATGGAGCTTTCACTTGCTGCCTACAGTGAGTGACTCAATAGTATTTGCTCTTCAAATCTGGATATTCCTTGGTATAAAGAAACACCAAGATGTTCAGTGAATGAAGAACACAGTCCATATGAGCACAGTAGTATAACCTCTGTTTTCCCCCATCCCTCTTGACTATTTTTGCCCTCAGTTGTTCTTCCAGGTATAAAACTGAGATTCTGATTTCTGTTGTGAAGCACCCAGTATATCTTTTGGTCACTCCTCAGTAAATAAATAAATAAATAAAGTGGTATCTTTAATTGCATATTAGAACACCAGACATGCCTTTCAGGAAGAGTCTACGTACCAGAAGACTGCTGGGGCCAACAGTCTCTAGCTGTATTTATATCAACTCCTTCCTACAAGTCACTGATACCTAAGAAATTCTAATTCCCTTTCTATGGAAAAACACATGGAAGACAAACAGTTTTCTATAATCTCATGAGCCATTTAGGGAGTCAAAAGTATCCCTTCCCCACCCTTCAAATGAAATCAGGACCAAAATCCCATGGATTTCCAGCTAAATACACAGATTCACTATCTGTCTCTGCACTTCAGTCTTCTATTGGTAATGTGGTAGTACAGTTAGCAAACTAATTTGATTTCTGATTGCCTACACAAGCAATGAGAATTTTTGTTATATACCAGAAGTTCCTTTTTTATTAATTTTAGGGCTGTCAACTAATCACAGTTAACACACGTGATTAACACATTAATTGGTTCTTGCATTAATTTTTTTAACATGTTAATCGTGGTTTTGGAGCCTGTGCCTGGGCTTCACTCTGCCACTGCCAGGCCACCCAGTGGGGCAGCAGTGGCAGTGCAGAGGACCGCAGGGCAGCCCAGGCGCAGGCTCTGGATAGCTGCAGCAGGAGGAGGGAGTGTGTGCACGCAGACACGGACTCACACAAGCAGCCACAGCCTGCATGCTGAGAAGTGCCACACTGGTAAGTCTGTGGAGGGGGAAGGGCAGGGGGAGAGGGAAGGGTTGCGGGGTGCAGATTGAGGGTCCCATGGCAAGGGAGGGACTGGGGCAGGGCCAGAGGCAGGCCCTGGGGTGAATGGGGCCCTGGGGCCAGGGTGAGTCATGGGACGGACGGCAGCTTGTCCAGGGGCACAGAGGT